AATCTGTAAATATGAGAGTTAAGGAAACTGATAAAACTCAGTTTTTTCCCAGGTCATTTGGTAAATATGTAGTCATATTTAAACTATTTGCTACAGAAATGCAGACATTAGGTAATCACCTTCTGAAATACACAGGTCTACTTTAGTGGTTTTACATTTATTTAGTTAATATTACTGTGAAAAGTCCTATTGTTACTCAACTTTATGAAGTTTGAACTCTTCTAAATTAGTATTTATAATAAACACTTATAACTTCCTTAGACCCTGTATTCTATTGTTGAGGATGTTGGTTTTAGATCCGTAGTCCTTATTCAGGGAGGGAAGATTTTAGGTTTTAGTTTTAATTTAAAAAAAATATTTGCCTCATACTTTCGCTTTTTCAGTGTTTGTTTGCTTATGAGGTTCTACCAACCTTAAAGAGCTAGAGGAAATTAAAAAAAAAAATCGTATATGAAGCAAAATCTTGGGACTTTCCAAGGTGGGAGGCGATGTTTTTCAAGGGTGGCCGATGCACCCCCTGGTCCCTCTTGGTGGTGCCCCTGGTGGTAGGATGACACACAACACGGACAAAAAGTGCAAACAAAGAAATAACTGCAGAGAAGTAGAAAGGAGAGCAGGACAGTCCTGTAAGACTGGACAGCAGAAACAGTTCAAACAGAATGTTGGACTTCACATGACTGAACCGGTGTTTTCAGACCTTTGAACAGTTTCTACACAGTCCGTCTGAGTATTTATTATTCCGTAGATTTCTCCTCAGGATGTCCAGCTGACAGTTGATGTCGCACACTTTTATGGGAAAATACGAATCACACATCCAGTCTGCCTCTGGCTGCTGTAGGATGGACGTTTCTGTCTCACATCCTCTTAAAGCAGAAAGTGAACGTGCAAACTTCCTCTGCTTCAGTTGGATTTGACCTCTGTTTAACTTCTTACATTTCCTACATAAAACACTGCAGACATATAAAAAAAAAGACACTCAAAACATCACATTCTGCTGCTTTGCAAAGCTCAAGTTTTTTAAAGGGATCCACGATTAGTTGTAACATTAGACTTTATTTAATAAACATATTTTAACTGTAAAATAAAGACTGTAAAAATACTGTAGGCTATTCAGTTTTTGTCATTTTAAAATTAAAAGTTTAAAAATATACTGTATTAAACGGACAGGGCCATTTTATTTACACGCAAAGCATTCTGGGTAAATGGTGACGTAGATAGGTCCTCGGTG